GTTTAAATGACTTATAATTTTTTGAAAACTGTTTTAGCAGTCGATGTCCTTGTGTATACTAAAAATGTTATATTGTGCCGTATTACCATAACAAAATACTTGATTGAAAAGGCAAATACAAAGAAAAAAAAATGGAGAAAAGGTATGCTCTAATGAAGAGTGACTTAGTCAAGGTTTACACATACAATGAATTACTTATCAATGAATTTTTTTTTTTTTTTTATTTGCATTCACTGCCAACAAGGCTGCAAGCAACCACTATTAAGTTGGGAGTTACTAGGAAAAAAAAAAGAACAGAGTTATAGAGCAAGGAAACAGTTGACAGAAGACTTGAAAAGTTGAAGGTTGTATGAGTCAGGAAAACATGAAGATGGGAGAGAGTTCCAAAGGATTGAAGTGCGGGGAAAAAAACTAAATGAATAAAAGTTTTTAGAGCATGCAGGGACAGATACAGTAAACGAATGAGACTTAGCTGAATGTAAACGAGAATGAATTTTAGTTGATGGAACTAGAGATGATAACTCCTTTGAGCAGTGACCATGATAGTATCTGTAGAAAAGAGAAAGAGATGCAACTTTACGACGATGGGAAAGAGGTTCAAGCTTAGCAGATAGTCCAGGTCCAACAACATTTACAATGGGTTTTTGGACCTTGTCAAGAAGAGAAAGTGAATTGTTAGAAGAACCAGCCCAAATATGACAACAGTATTCCATACAGGGACGAATAAGAGATTTGTAGAGGTAGAAAATGGAATCAGAAGTAAGGAAATGGCGAGCACGATAAAGAGAAGCAACCTTAGCAGAAGCTAATTTAGCAATCGATTGTATATATGGTTTCCATGAAAGGTCAGATTATTTAGCAGTCCCTATTAGCACTCATGCGGCAGGAAGCCCATCTCTACACTACTGGTATACCTGCATGTTGACTATATAGTTGCCCCTAATTATAATAGAGCTACCCTTTATGATATACAAGAAAAAATTTTTTCTCAATTCCCCATTACAAACACCGTCCACATACATAAGAGTACTACCTGAAGTGTTATCCAGAAGTGCCCTCAAACAGGTAATGGATTTGAATACGCTACCTATTTCATAATTTATTTTAAATCAACATGAAATGACTGTTTTTGAGTTTAGTTTTATACATATAATTTATGTAAAAAAAAAAAAATTACTTTTAAATGTAAGTAAATTATATATTTTTATATGAGTTATGTAAAGTAATTTATGCTTAAGAGTAATTTGCATTTTTATATCAAAATAAGTAAAAGTGTCATATCCTATTCCTTACCATATTTTGTATTGAATGCTTATCAACTTTTAAAAATAACTATTAAACGGTTTTGTTCTTGAGTACATAGCATAGTCAGCTATGAGAGAAACACAGTGTTATAAAGTATATACCAAGTTGGTCATGAGACTCCAACTATTAAAATTTTAATTGATTTTGATTGAATATGCTGATTGGACAGGAAAATGATAGTGCTTAGAACAAAGGTAAATTAGGATTTGATAGAGCCAACTGAAATTGAGTAACAAATACCTGTTTATCAATAAAAACACCTGTCAAAACCTCTGTATCAATATAATTATTTTCAAGAAGGAAAACTTTCATTCAAGTATCATAGCCCAGCTTTAAAATCTAAATTTCTAATCTCTGTCTAAAAATATGGCTTCTTTTCTTTTCTTATTAGAGTCATACCACAAAACCATTTTATTATCATCTTCTCTTTCAGCAAGTTAATATAAATAAAATAAATATAAATAAATAAAAATAAATATACCCCATATAAAGTTTATACTAATATGTAAAGGTGTAAAGGTATTAAATAAAAGCATTAGGTAAACTTCCATGTCCGTTATTTGCGTATTTATGTAAGATATGCCAGCATACAATATCTTAAATTAGTATTATCTTAATTGGCTTATCATCAAGACTCACCCATCTTCATGTTTTTCTGAATATACAACTTGCAACTTTTTAAGTCTTCAGTTAACCATTTCCTTTCTTTTTTCCTAACCACTGCTATCAATCCCTGTAAAACTTTTTATTTTTGCCAGAGCCAGGATTTGTAAAATGTCCCATTATCAGTTGGGGCAAACGGGACCCCAATCATTTACAACTTCCTTGGAAGCAGATGCATATAAACACTGTCTTTGCCAACAACTTCATTATGAAAGGTAGATTATATTAATATCTATCATAAGTAAAGATATTTTTACAACTGAGTTTCTGTAGCTACTTGACAAATATTTTCATCTTTTACTTCAGCCATTTTTTACATGGCCCAAAGTTTGTAAATAAAGTATGTAAACAAAGGTCATCTCTTTTATTTCAGCAGCAATTATTTTTAACCTACTTAAAAGTAGTTATCATCCCTTTCAATATGACTGTTTTCAACCATGCATGAGTTTTCTTTAAACATATTTACAGTAATTATAAAGTAGTTCACAAAAGAACAAAATAAATGATAAAATCAAGGGTCAGGGTAACAACATCAGTTTTTACCATGTCTAATAACATCTGTCCTACATCTGTAAATATAATGAAGTATAATAACATCTATCCAACAACATCTGAAATTTCATTGATGTCTAACAACATCTGTGCAAAAATTAAATCAATATTACAGATATAGTTACATCTTTTAAATTATTTATGTATAACAGCATCTGTGCAACTACATCTGTGAATTCTACAGATGTAGATACATCTTTTAAATTATCAAAGTGTAATAACATCTGTGCAACTAAATCTGTGGGTTTTTTAAAAAAAAGTAATTTAAATTTCGTTTCAATTTTTAATAAAATAATTTTCCGGGATTTTCCGGGAATATCATCGAAAAAAAATTTCCGGGATTTTCATAAAGTCAAATACTCATCTATGATATATGTACATCTGGAAAAATTCCTATATATAGGAGTTTTTTCAGTACCAGATGTTGTTACATATATATACATCTGAAAAAATGTACCAGATGTTGTTACATATATATACATCTGAAAAAATTCCTATATATAGGAATTTTTTCAGTACCAGATGTTGTTACATATATATACATCTGAAAAAATGTACCAGATGTTGTTACATATATATACATCTGAAAAAATTCCTATATATAGGAATTTTTTCAGATGTAACTACATCTTGAGAAAAATTCTTCCAGATGTTATTGGACCTGGAGAAAAATTACCAGATGTAGTTACATCTTCCTAAAGATGTTATTAGAGGTTGTTGAATTTTCAGATGATATTGGACAGATATTGTTTGAGTAAAAAAAAAATACAGATGATGTTGGATAAAAGTGTACAGATGATATTAGGCTACTCCAATGATGTTGTTGGACATATGTAGTAATCTTTTACCTAAAATCACTATTATTTAAAATTCAAAACAATTTATATTGAAGACAAATTATCAAAGTAATAATCTATATAGTATAATATAAAAACATATTTTTAAAAAGCATATCTGTAATAAATCAAATTAAAAAAAAAAATTATTGCATATTGCTAATTTAAAATCAATTTAATACATATAATAATTTTAATACAAATCAATTAAAAATTAACATGCCTCTTGTTAAAAGAAATTCCTCACTTGTTAATACCATCTCTTGTTAAAACAAATACAATTTTTTCTTTGTATTTGGAGGTGGTATATATTATGTACCACCTCTTTGTTTTTTGTACTTGAAATTCATAAACTTTATTTTAACTTTATTTTTTCTTTATTGATAGTCTTTCTTTATTTGAAAGACTATCAATAAAGAAAATGATTCATAACAAAAGCATTTTTTTTATTGAAAAAGTCTTGAAGTTTATACGAAATTGTAAAATTGTGAGAATGTGTTTTTTGTAATTATGTAAATAATATAACAATTTTCAATAATTAAGTACAGAAATATAAAAACACATGAATATAATAAAGTTTCTAACAAGAACATTTTATATGACTTTCCTCTGTATGTCTCTATATAAAAGAATTTCCTTATTCTTTAGAACATACCATTGAAAACATAATCCTTAATCATCAGAATAAATTCATAAGTAAAAATATATTTGAAATACTATGTAAAATCAAAATATTTTTTTATAACAAAAATTTTTAAGTTTTATATTGCAAAATTTTGAGTTAGTTTAAATGAAAAGGTTCTAACTGAAGATATTAATGCAGATGTCTGAAAGAAATAGACCTAGGACTATTTGTGAATAGCCCTTTTTTACATAACAGATGTCCTTTTTTTTTCTTTAAAAAGTGCAGGAGAAGAAACAATTAGTTACAGGTGGTACAATAAAAAAAAATTACATTATAATTACTATTATTTAGTTAAAAATCATTCAGATTACTCTTGTTTTAATAATAATAGTTTTAATAATAGTAATAATAATAATAATAATAATAATAATAATAATAATAATAATAATAATAATAATAATAATAAATATAATGATTAGTACCCAAATAATTTTTATGGACATTGTAATTAATGATACTCAAATAATTTGTTATAAACATTGTAATGGTTTAATTTAAAAAGAATGGAATAGATAACACTTACTATAAAAGAACACTTACTATAAAAGAGTTAATTGACTATTCAAATATATGTGTTATATGATAAAAACACTAAAAACTTTGTTCTTGTTCCAATAATAAATATATATGTTATATGATATAAATCTATTAAAATAAATTATATATACTTAAAATTTTATTCTTGTTCCAATAATAAATAAATATATATATATATATATATATATATATATATATATATATATATATATATATATATATATATATATATATATGTTATGATATAAATCTAATAAAATAATTTGTTTATACTTAAAACTTTGTTCCTGTTCCAATAATAAACAGTTAAAAAGTAATAAAATTTATAAAGGTTTTGAATAAATTAAAAAAAAAAAATTTGAATGATTGCAAGAAATAGTTAAAGTATTTATAATGATAAAGTATTTAAAATATTCTTTCAGAAATCCCTGCTCTCTGAGTTTCGACCTTTGGCTGAAATGGTTAATATTATTAGCTTAATGTCAGAAGATTGTCAAAAAATGATTCATTGGGCATTAGATTCAAAGATTTATTCATCAAAAACTTGCAATAAACATGTAGTGAGTTGTTTTTTATTTTATTTTAAAGTTCAATATCATCATGTTTTTGTGCTTACTGATTTATTGACTTTTCCTATACTTATTCAACAGTAGGTTGGCAATATTTTGTTTTGGCCTTCAAATATTTTTTTGTGAGGCTTAAGGTAGGACCCTGCGAAATTTTGAGTCAAATTGGAAAAGTGATTTGAAATTTGATTTAAAAATCTCCATATGATTGAATTAAGGTTTCTTAATAAACTTTTTAAAATTTACTTTATAATATTTTCTAATTATTAAAATTACACTTCTAAACATTATAAATATTTTCTAATTATTAAAATTACACTTTTAAACATTAGAGCTCTAATAATTTTACTATTATAAAAGTTTCAGTTTTTAAAATTTGGTTGAAATAAAAATTATACGCTCCTATAAATTTGTGACAATGACATTCAGAGCCACTTTTAGTGTAAATTTATTGAAGTGGCCCTGATGGCACTATTCTAAAACAAGTTGCTGTCTATTCTTATAGGTTTTTTGTTTCTTTGAACAAAAACTAAACTTTGGTGTACCGGATTGGAAAGTTTAAATTCTGGCCGGAACCAGATTTGCAGAATTGTTAATAAAATTTTGGCTAGAACGTAAATTATATATAGGGAAGCACATAGTCACCGATGAAAAGAGGGGGTCTGCAAATGGCATATATGAGATGGGGGCAGGGGGTCAATTTAAAAAAATGTACGTTTAGGGAGGTGAGGGGTACTCAAAAAAGCGTATAGCAAAATAAATAGAGAAAGCGTTAATTTAATTCATTTAATTCTTGTTTCATTTAAATCTAATATGTTGTTTTTATTTGTTTCTTATAATTTTAGTTATTGAAAATTTTAACCTACACAATATTTATATTTAAAATTATTTCTTTTTTTTTCCATTTTTTCACTTAGAATAAAATTGAAATATTTTTTATATTAGGCATCCTATCTTTTTTAATTGTTTAAAATTTAAGTAACATTTAAAATGAGACTATACTATTCTCAGAGGCAGGTAACATTTTGGGTGAAAAAAGAGCACGTTTATTGCTCAAAACTGGATAGCAACTTTTTTTGTACCACAATCCTAAACTTCTAAAAGTTCTTACATAATTCATTACTGCAAATAAAATTACATAGTATTTGTTATCAATTTTGTATTTTTTACCTAGATTTACCTATATTTCTTCATTGCCCAATAGGTCAAAGATTTATTGATTTAATTTAAACAGTCTGTGTCACATGTCTTAAAAAATAAAGGTAAAAAATAAATTCTGGTATTCCGGCCTGAAAAATTTAATTCCGCCCGGAACCGGAATGACCTAAAATTCACAAAATCCGGCTAGAATTCCGATACATCCCTACTAATTATATTGATTCCTGTTATCACCACATAAAGTTGATTTAAAAAAAACAACAAAGCAACTTTAAGGTCATATTGCCCTAATCTCTCCTATACTTCTTCTTATACTTAATTATAGGTATTATACTTACATGCTTTTAATTTTAAAATTTCAAAAAATATTCAATCTGAATCTACCCTATATATATATATATATATATATATATATATATATATATATATATATATATATATATATATATATATATATATATATATATATATATATATATATATATATATATACATACATATATATATATATATATATATATATATATATATATATATATATATATATATATATATATATATATATATATATATATATATATATATATATATATATATACATTCAGGTTGTTAACTAGGAACTTATAACACCTATAGTTAAATAGAAGAAGAAGTATAGGAGAAATTAGGGCAATATGACCTATATATATACAGTATGTGCCAAAATTGTCACCATGTTTGAACAAAGAAACATTAAAAAAAATTTTTAATAGAAAAGCTGTGAAGAAAAATGAAATTTTAGTTTTATTAATTAAATTAAAGACTTAGCTAACTGAAAATATTGCTTTTTATTAAATTTAGAGGATATTGAACTTTTTTTTTTAATTTTATGTGAAAAGCTAATGGTGACAATTTTGTCGCAAATAAAAGCAAATAACGTATTATAGTAAATTAATATCGAGTGTATCCTCCCTTAGATTTAATTACTGCCTGAATTCTTTCAGGAACACTAGCAACCAATTTGCACCATTCCTCGGGTGTAGTTAAGTACCAAACCTCTTGTACACGAGCTCAAAGTTCATCCTTATTCTTAGGTGGAGTATATTTAGGTACTAAATTTAACAAAAAGCAATATTTTTAGTTAGCTAAGTCTTAAATTTAATTAATAAAACTATTTTATTAATTAAATTTAAGACTAATAAATTTCATTTTTCTTCACAGCTTTTTTGATAAAATTTATATTAAATATTTTTTTGTTCAAACATGGTGACAATTTTGGCACATACTGTATATATATATATATATATATATATATATATATATATATATATATATATATATATATATATATATATATATATATATATATATATATATATATATATATATATATATATATATATATATATATATATATATATATATATATATATATATATATATATATATATATATATATATATATATATATATATATATATATATATATATATATATATATATATATATATATATATATATAAAGTATTATAGTGATCTTCTTCTTCTAATTATTATTTAAATTCTGGTTGATGTCCTTTGTGGATGAACCCTTACACCATCATGTAATAAATTGTGTTGTCAAAAGAAATGTTTTAAAAATACAAAAATATAAAAGGTTTTGAAAATAGTAAACACAAGCTCGTAAATTTCATATTTCACATTTTATTTAGCAATTTTATAATTTATATTAACTTTCTTTATACATAAATCGTGTAGCAAAATAAAGTTACATTTACAAAGTCTCAGCAAAAACAACAACAAATGTCGTTGTTTTAAAATTACAAAGGCAATCACGTAGTTATATATGAAAATGGCAATTTTATTTCATGTTTTAAACAATAAATTATAATTTTTTATATTATTTTTCTATTAGGTTTTAATAGTAATTAATTTTCAATAATTTTTAGAATTATCCATTAACTTTAATTTGGCAAACTTTATTTAGAAAATAGGATTTTTTCGCTTTTAAATTGGGAATTTTAATTTTATGAACATTTATGAACACCGCGTTTGACGGGGCATTACAGGGCTGGTTTACACCTTGATATATATATGTATATATAAATTATATATATATATATATATATATATATATATATATATATATATATATATATATATATATATATATATTTATTCTGCTTTTGATTTTTAAGTTTGATGATGTACAAAAAAAAACTGGGTGTTCAAGTTACCAGGTACAACCAGATTATATTTTTGAAATCAAATACAATACATTTTCTTCACAAAAGTTTGATGATCTTGCTAAAATGTATGGTGTAAAGTATGGATTTCATGGCAGTCGAATGGATAATTTCCATTCTATAGTAAATAACGGCTTGCAGGTGCATATGGTAAAGGTATATAGTTACATATTTTTTTTATCATGTTAATTTATTGTATTAATTTGTAAGTACCAGTTTGTAACTCACAGGTAATAATATATATACACAGGCGTGGTCAGGAATGGCCTGTGATCTGATATCTGACCATATCTGATCATTTTGTTTTGGCATTTTGACCACATACATTTAAATGCTTTGGCGGTTAAAACATTTCAAAAATCTGCTAAAAAAAACAAAGCTAAACTAAATTAAAAAAATTAAAAGAAAAAGAAAAACTAAAAATTAAACTAAATTGAAAAGTACAATGCTGGCAACAGGGTTTTGAAGTGGGGTGTACAATCGTTAATTTCTAAAAAAAAAGTCAACTTGAAATCATCTTGAAATTTCTTTAAAAAAAGTCCTTTAGAAAAAAAGTGCGTAGAAAAGAGGGGGAATAACCCCTGACCTCCCTCAGTGATGTTGGGCATGAAGTAAACTTAAAAAATAAAACTCAACTAAAAAAAGTTCAAAAAAACTAAAACTTTAAAAGATAGTTATTCTAAACTATATTTATAAAAATGTTTGAAATAAATAACTTTGATCTTTTCTATTTGGGCCTAAGCGGGGTTTGATTAAATATAGCTGGGGCCGGGGCTGCATAAACATTTATACATCTTAAAGTTTTTTTTTAATTCAAAATTTATGTTATATTTTGTATATATATGTATATATAAACATCATTATGATCAACATGATCATCATAATCATTATTACCATCATCATAATCATCATCATCATTATCATCATCATCATCATCATCATCATCATCATCATCATCATCATCATCATATTCTCTATTGGCAAATAATTCACCATATAAATACTAAAGTTTATATAAATATGAAAGGATATTGCATCCCAACTTCTTAATAAATAGCAAATATATATATATGTTTATATCCATATTATGTATGCATAAAGCGCATCTCAGAAGCTTTTATTCCTTCAGAACTAAAAGTTTAGAAGCTTTTATTCCTATTCTTCAATTTTAAGTCAAACCTCATTCTACTCCATATTTTTCGCCATCTTGAGCAGTTGCTTTATTAACCATTTGTTTCATCTTTTTTACAAGAACATCTCTCTTAAGAACAAATATCCTTTTATTATTCCAAGAAGCCAATGTAAAAAGGTCCTGTCTGATGTTAAGCTCTGTTATTCTCAGTTTACTAAATTTTGTATCTTATATCAGATGATAGGTTCTAGAGACTTTTGGTTAGTCTTCAACAATGTCATTAACTAAAGTAAGTCTAACATTTAATCTTATTAATTGTATAATTTTTAATAATGTTTAATTTTTAAAAAGTGCTAAATAAGTGGTTGCAATTTTTCAAAACTCTAGAAAACACTTTGACCTTTCCAACTATCCTACAATTAGTCTTCACTCTGTTATTTGTTTCCTTATATAAAGGTTTTGAGATTATTAAATAATTTCTTACTAACTGCACTAATAAAGTTATTCTTGAAGGCCTCTTCTTATTTCAACTCTTCTTTATTTCAAGTATTACACTCTTCTTTATTTCAAGTTACTTCAAGGGTACCACAAGGTACCCTTAAAATGACTTGTCATCCTCCTCGTCTGTAGTGCCCCTTTCAGCCTTGGGGAGTTGAATTAATATTTATTAAAAAATAATAATAATAAATTAGATGCCATGCTTGAGCCATTCTCTTACTGTTGTAAGGTTGCATTTCTTTCTTTTTTCTACAAATACAATCATGGTCAATGTTCAAACAAGCTATCATATTTATTATAATAAACCAAAACTCATTCTTGTTTCTTATTCAACAAGTTGCATCTTTTTACTGTATATGTCCCTTCATGTTACAAAAACTTTTATTAATCCAGTTTTTTTCCGTGCACATCAAAAAAACCTTATAACTATTAGCCATCTTCATGTTTTTCTTTTATATACAACCTACACTTTTCAAGTCTTCAGTTAACCTAGTATTTTTACTTATTCTCTATTTTAAAGTAACTCATAACTTAATAGTGGTTGCTTGCAATCTTGTTGGAAGTAAATTAGAGTTTAAAAATGTATAAATATATGCCAATATTTAATAAATAGTAAATAGTAAGCAGAAAATTATAATATAAAAAGTATTATAATTTTTTTCCTAGCCCCAGCTATCAACCTCTGCTAAATCTTAAAGTTTAGCCAGGACCGGGTATGAAAAAAGTATCATTTTTAGCTGGAGCCGGGGCCCTAGTCACTTACTAAGTCAGGGATGCCATGACTTTGAATCAAAGAAAACCAAATATCTTCTTTGCATTTGACTGTTTTTGTTGTTATTTTGCAAAATACTATTATTCTTAATAAAAATAAACAACATCAAATAGCAAAAATTAAACATGTTGCAGTGTATTTTTTAAATGCATGTGCATTAGCAGTGGCATTTTAAATGTTTTCTTATAAAAAGAAATTCTAAAAATAAAAATCATAACAACAAGTTCTTTCTTTGAAACATTTCCCAGCAAAAAAAGGAGTTTGAAAAAGTTGAAGGTGATAAAAATAGACCTTGTCAGCAACCTGTTAAGTACCATCACAACTTATTCATGTGGTTCTTCTGCTCATCGCTACAAGTACCTAACAGTACAACAGAAGATGCGTGAAGCTGCCTCAACTTCCTAACGGCCTCTCAAGCAAATCTACTAAGATGTTATTTTAAATTCATCACTTCGTGTGCAATAGTCTCTGACAGTTATTCAGGTACCTTGAGCAGATAGTAGTCGGTCCTAGCATGTGACACAATATTTACTCTGAAGAAAAGGTTAAAAAAAGTTTTTTTTAAACATTACTTGCTAAACAAAGTATGAAATGATTATAAAGTAAAGATTAGATATATAATTAAATATTTATTTTGTATATTATTTATTTATTAAATGTGTTATTATTTAGCTAGCATTTTTTTTTTTGGAAAAATTTTTTGTTGGAAAAAGTTCATAATTATATAAACAAAAAAAAGTTATATATAGTACTTTTTAATAATTTAATGAAATCTTTGTCTAGTAAACAATTAGTTATTTGCTGCTTTTGTTTTTAAGCGTTTTACATAAAATAAAATCATTAAAAAAAGATTTAAAATGTAACTATAAATGTAATTTAAATTTTCAATAAAAGTTTTTGTCTTAAGAGTTTTGTTTTAGTTGATTTAAGTTAACTTTGTTCTTTTTACTTTCTCTATAGTTAAAATTTTTTTAATTTTTAGTTTAACTTAGTTTTAAGCACATTTTTGAATTGTTGAAATTATCAAAACATGTAACTAAAGTGTTCAAATTGTCAAAACAAAATATACGGTTTAGTCTGGTGTGCAATAGCACATAATTCCTGATCATTTGTACTGCTGTCAAGACAATGTAAGTTTACAATGATGCTTTTACACTGATACAATTTTTAATTAATATTTTCTAGTATTGTAGAACCATTAAAAAAAGAAAAGAAAAAAACAAAAGTTTTAAAATTGTATATTAAATGATTAATAATAAAAAAAAGTTTTGTCGCGTTTAGAGCAGTCCTCTATAATAATTTTTTACTTCGTTATAATGTCAATATCAACAAATTCTATATAAGGTACAAACAGAGACTGACTGTAGCTTAGTAAAGTTTTATGGTAACCTGGTTTAAACACTTTGAAGTTTTTCGCTACAGGCATCTGACCTTATCACTTCAACACAATTTCATTGTAGGGAACATCTAAATTCCCTGATATGGTGGTGTTTACAAAATACACAAAATGTTTTCTATTAAGAACTTTCTATTAATAAAGAGGAGTAGTTGTAATCTTTAAAAAAGTTCTTTCCAGTTAGACACACTAGATATTGGCAAAATAAATAATAACTCTACTAGTGTTAATTAGTGGCTTTTTTAGGTCAAAAAATAACTTTAATTCACCTTATCAGCAATGCATTTTGTGTGGTTCATATTGCATTTTTTAAGAGGTTTAAAAAATAACTTATAGTTTTTTTATAAATTAAGTTATGGTTTTTTTTAAACCCTCTTAATATCTAAATTAATTTTAATTTAGATTATATACTTAATATCTAAATTAATTGTAAATTCACCCCCTCATTCCACCTTAGGCAGTGGTGGTGGGGGTGGGGTCCAGGCCACATACAGACCACTGATCACATATAATAAAATATAATTTAAAAAAATAATGCTTTCAGTTTAAAATTAATTTAGATATTAAGTAAATAATCTAAATATCTAAAAATCAATTTAGGGACCTCCATTTAAACCATGAAGGTCTCTAAAAAGTTACTGCCCTCTTTATTTGTGCCCCTATAAAGGTCTGATCAAGGAGAGGGCAACCAACTATATCTATCTTTTTATTAAGAAATGACTTAATAATTTATTGCATATTTAATAATTTATTGCAATATTAGGAGTAATAAAGTCACTTTTTGTAACTGTTGTATAAAAAAATTACAAAAAACTTGATCTTATTGCATTGTGTAGAAATGACAATGATAAAGCTGAGAAGTTATAATGGTGTAATGCTTTTTAGTTATATGTGTAATTTAAGTTTTGAACTTTTTCTATTTTGCAGAATGCTGTGTTTGGGGAAGGTGTTTATTTAAGTGAAGATTTATCTGTCTCTATGCCATACATTTCAAGTGGTTTTACTTGGCAACATTCTAAGTTAGGTCAACAAATATCTTGTGTAGCTGTATGTGAAGTATTAGATCATCCTGGGGTAAAATGTACCATGAAAACAGTTAATGGTGCTAATCGGTCTAGGGCAAATAATTCTGAAGCTGGAGAAGTACCTAAAAAATATTTTGTTGTTACCAGCAGTGACTTAGTACGTGTTAAATACATCTTTGTTTTTACAGACAAGACTGAAAAAAGGTAATATAATAAAAAATTTATACTTTAATAAAATTTAAAAAAAGAAATTAAGTTATTTATTAAAATTATAAATAGTTTTACAATAATTCACTGCTTCCATTAAAAATATTTTTGTATCCTTAAAGAAAATTTGTTTATTACTAACTTCAATAAAAAAATACTTACCTCAATAAAAAAAGGTTAAAATTAGAGCATGGTCTTCACTGCTGAATCAAGAAATGCCCAATTCACGAGTTCTTTACTAATATACAGATTGCTTGCAAATTTACCACTGGCTGCTTTGGAAATGGAAGGATTTTCTGATAGCAGACAAGTTTATTTGAAGAAAGTTTGCTTCCAGTTATTCCAACTTTTTTAAAGTTTATTAAGCAATTTGAAGTTCTAATTTATATTAAAAATTTATTTCTTAATTTTATTCTAAAATATTAAAAATTTCCATGTTAGAAAAATTAATATTACATTGAAGATGTCTGTCAAAAAGTTAACCCTTCTGCAGTCTGCACAAAGAACTGTAAATAAGATTTTCTTATACGGCTGTCCTGAGCAACTACATCTGAAAATTATGTAGTTGAAATTGTTAAATATTAAATATTGGTTAATAGTAAAAGTTATGAAATTTACAACTTCATTAAACTTTTTTTACTATTTGGTATTAGGCTGAATACCAAATACCAGATTGTAACAAAAAAAAGAGCATAAAAACTGATTTCATATAGCTATATTTCTTTATACTTTATTTTAACAAATAATTAGCATATTTGATACTTAAAATCTATAGATGGTAAGTTATAATTAAATATTTCGATTGTTCGATAATAGCAAATAATTGCAAATTTCTTATAAATTAAACATACTTCCAAAAACATCTATTCACTGCATACCCTGCCACAGGCAAGTAATAAGAAAATTTTTGCAAGTTCTGTTAAGATAGTGTTTTGCGTTTGCTGACCACTACTTTTAAAGGTTTGCTGTCCAATTTAAGCAAACAGTTTCATGATAAAACTTATTTTGTTTGCAATCAGACTTTTCTTTTCCACATCTTCATATGTGTGCATATTTTTGTAGAGATTGGTTTGATTATTTTCATTTCTTTTTCTTACAAAGTGGAGCTGAATCATCACTGCAACTACTAGTCACCAATAATGGTTCATCAGTGTCAAGCAGTCTTTCACTGAGAAGGATTAACCATTTACAGACTTTATCTTTCTCTGAACATTTAATTTATTCATCATATTGTTTTAACTATAGTTATGTATTTTAATTTTGTTTTGTTTTGCTCGTTGTGTTTTAACTAATCCCTTGAAATTGTTTTTTGGAATGTGCATCAATAAAAAAATAGGCAACCAATTGACATTTCCATTAAACTTTAACTATGTTTTAAGTTCAGGTTGTTGTGGAGATATCATTTTTATTATGTTTGGAGATTTTTGTGTTATATCTATCTATAGATATATTGCTTTTAAAGTTTCCTTCAGAAATGCAAGATATACTTGAGCTGATTATTTTTGTAATGATTTGAGTAGTATGATTTTATAAAAGTAAAAGTCACATAACTATAATACTTTTATACATAATTATAGTTAAAACAATATGATGAAAACTAATAAACTAAATGCTCAGAGAAAGATAAAGTCTGTGAATGGTTAATCCTTCTCAGTGAAAGGCTGCTTTACACTGATGTACCATTATTGGTGACTAATAGTTGCGGTGATGATTCAGCTCCATTTTGTAAGAAAAAGAAATGAAAATAATCAAACCAATCTCTACAAAAATATGCACACATATGAAGATGTGGAAAAGAAAAGTCTGATTGCAAACGAAATAAGTTTTAACATGAAACTGTTTGCTTAAATTGGACAGCAAACCTTCAAAAGTAGTGATCAGCAAACGCAAAACACTATCTTAACAGAATTTGATAAAATTTTTTATTATTTGCCTGTGGCAGGGTATGCAGTGAATGGATGTTTTTGGAAGTATGTATAATTTATAAGAAATTTGCAATTATTTGCTATTATCACTCAACAAATAATGCGTGCTGTGACATGACCTAGTTATTTTAGTTCACCTATGCACTTTAATGAAACAGGTTGGAGTCATCAAAATTACTCAGTGTTGCCGAATATTTGGATGCAAAACATGGCCACAGAAATTGTTATCCTGGCCAAAATAGTTTGTCAGGGCATAGATTTAATGATAGCAGATGGAAAACATTTTTATAGAATAATATTTAAAAAAATATTTAGGAATGGCACAGAGTATTTTTGAAGTATAATTTGTTCATTTTGTTATTTAGTATAATGGGATGACATCCTTCTTTTTGACTTTTGAGATGAATATAAACATTTACGTTAATAGGAATTCTGCTAAATGTGGTATGCTGTGTTTTCGATATCCAGTTTTAAGTATTATGTTAGCTTATATGCTGCTTCTGGCTTTTGTCAGTATATGGAACAGCAAAACTTTTCAACTTATTTGGCGTAACTACTGGTATAAAAAGAAATTTTAATAATGCTTAAGTAGGTGTTGTATATTTTTATTATTTATGTTAAAATGGTGTTATATATTTATATATTTTTTACTGTTATCGTTTTATTATTTAAGAAATAAGTTAGCATTATGTTATTATTCATGCAACTAAGGCAGCATTTTCACTTCGAAATATTTTTAAGTAAGTTTATTCATTTTTTTACTTCAGAATTATAAAAGTTACAAAGTTAAAAGTTACCAGGTACTTTTTTTTAAATCATAAACATTAATGTTTTTTATGTTTTTGGGGGAAAAAATGTAGAAAACATTAGCAAAAAATGTAAGCATGTGTTTTTTACAGGAAAAATTACAAGTAGGGATAAAAGTATTTCTTTTATGTAATTTTTTTAACAAGAAGTTGTTTAAAGTAATATGTATATACTAGTATATTACAGAATGTAATAAAAAGAACTTTTGTAAAATGAAATGTTCATTAAAATGAAATGTTCATTAAAATGAAATTTTCAATAAAATGAAATTTTATTAAAATGAAATGTTCATTAAAATGAAATGTTCATTCAAATGAAATGTTCATTAAAATGAAATGTTCATTAAAATGAAATGTTCATTAAAATGAAATTTTTATTAAAATAAAATGTTCATTAAAATGAAATTTTCAATAAAATGAAATTTTATTACATTTTATTAACATGTTCTTTTTATTACATTTGTTCAAGTTGTTTCGTGTTTAGTTTTTTTGTGAGGTTGTTCATATCTAACGTTATCTATACAACCTCTTACATTCTTAGACTTTTTCAGATGAATAAATTCTGTTATGGTATACTCCTTATAAAGATCATTGACAAGTTTATTTATTCCACTTTTGTTCATGGTGCAAAGAGAGTTTTTAAAAGTTAAAATGCAAATATTTATGAAACCTAGCTCTAAAGTAATATTCTATGTTACACTGAACAGAAACTAAAATAATTAAAACAAGAAATACTTATTGTAGAATCGGTATATGTTTAACAGTATGTTGTAGTGTAGCTTAAGTTGACTCTAGAAGAATAACTAGGTTGGATGATCAAGACACATTTCTTCTGTCTCTTTTAAGGTTTCAATAGCGTACCGTTTGGTCGACGTCACAAAATGTTACTAATTAGAATTTGATACCTGAGGGAGTATAATTTAATGTCTCTTTGATTTTAGGGTCTTTATAGCAATGTAAAAATTTTTATTGTTTAAGTTCTATTCTACACACTTTTTATATAAGAAATTTGAAAACACCCTGAAGATTTAAGGTAAATTGAGTCTAGAGTTTATTATTCATTGCACATTGTTTTACTAGGTGTTTCAAAAATCTTTAAAAAACTAATTTTATAGTTTTTTGCTAAGTTTAAATATAACTATGGAGGGTTAGAATTTGTATTTGGTAAACAAAACAGATAATGCTCTCAATTTTTGCTATATTTCAGCATCATGGTTCTAACGAAGATGTTTCTTATAAGTTTACAACTTTTAAATGTAAAACAAGGCTATAATTAGTTAGGTTTCTTTTGTGTAATATTTTTGTTTGTGGAATTCTAGTAACTTAAATTATATTTTTCTGGACCAAAAAAATCAAATAATGTCTATACGCTACTTTTTTATTTTTAATCATCAATTTTTAGCAATGTTGTTAAATCTTTTCTTTTAAACATATGAAGCCATGTTTTTAATTTAAAAGTTTTTATTTGTTTTTGCCAGTCAGTCATTATTTCTTAATTATTTTCAGATTTAGGAAACCTTATAAAAAATGTTCGTGGAGGTTATCTATCACTATATCTAGAATCTGATCTACAAATTCCCAAAGAACAGTACTTTGTAGGACCTTTGCTCTTCATGTTTATCAAATTGTTTGTTCGAATATCAATCCCACAATCACTTGCGATACATTAAGTAGTTCTATTTTTAGAACACAAACGGTACGCTATTGAACATATCATCTTATTATTATTATTTTTTTATTGGATCTTTTTTGTTCTGCAATTTTTCTGTCATGGCATTTTTTTTCACAAGGCTTTATTAAACTTCATTATTTTTGGCGGTTGTCTTTAAATCCATTAATTTTTTTAGTATTCTTGTCAGTGTTTAGGCATGGTCAATTTTCAGCTAGCTGAAAATTGACCATGCCTTATGAGTAGTGATGACTTTTTCAGGTTTAATTATTTTAAGAACTTTTGAGAGAAGTATTAAAAGAAATATTGAAGTTTTTTTCTAATAGAAGACGTTTAGATTCTCCTTTGAATTGTTCTAAGGAGATATTTAAAGGAATTTTATCTTTAATAATGTTTTTTAAAAAACTTTTCCTTATAAATGGTCCACGGTATTGAATTTGAAATGATTTGAGTTTTAAATAAGATCTTGAAATAACAAAATTATAAGATGGATATTAATGAGATATTTCTGCAAAGTAAGAGTGAAATATATTAGAAGATAACGCATGTTTTGATCTAAACATAAAAAGCATAACTTGGTATATATAAAGTTTATAAACATTGAGCACATTAAGTTTCTTTAAAAGAGATTCATCATTAACAGTTCTGTTAACGCCAAATATAATCCTGCATGCATGTTTTTGTTTGCTATAAATTTTTTTGAGCTTCCCATAATTGGTACTTTCCCATGCACGATTACAATAGGAAAGATAACTACCAATATGGAATAGGGGATTTCGGGATACAGTGGATCAAGGGGCACAGTGAATAAGAAGCATTTTCTCAAAGGTTATGATTTTGTTCATCACGATGATGTAATCAGTTTATGTGCGCACATATCACCCATCTTTATTTATAGGTGTTACCACATAATTTTTGACTCTTGGTTTTTGGTAGGTAATTTATGTTTTTAGCTAACTAAAGTAAATGTTCTTACCATCTTTATGTTTGTTGTGGAGATCATGGTTAAAATCATTTTATAAGTTAAAGTTTTATATTCGGAATACTGATAATTATGCTTCATTTTAGTAGTTTTGCTTTTCTTTTAATAACACTCATGTCCCAAGAAATTAAACCTGAAACTTATTTTTTATGTTGGGGCACAATGAATCAGATTACCGTGAACCGGTTGATTCACTGTGATAAATATATTTATATAAATATTTATAAAAATTAAAATGTTTATAAAAATTAAAAATTCACTTTTAAAAATTTCTTTTGTTGTAGGTTAAATAAGTTTTATTAGGTAAATTTTTTTTTTTTTGTGATTTTAGATGGTTGAATAAGTTTTGTTATCAGTAAAATTTATTCTTTATTTTTTCAATCAGAAAAAATGTAAATTATTTAATTTTAATTACCAAAAGTGCGCCAAAAATATAGTGTACAATGTATTTACACCCTCATCCTCAAAATTATTTGGCTATGCCCCCATTAACTACCACTAAATTGCAGATTTGTTAATTGATTCACTGTACCCCAGTACTGGGGTACAGTGAATCAAAAGGTTTAACTTTATATAGCATTGAAGTATTTTTGGAGATTTTATTTTCAATAGATTTAATATGATATTTCCATGATATATTTTTATCTATAATCACTCCTAGAAAGTTAACAGTAGACTCTCTTTTAATAACTTTTTTGTTCATAAAGATTCTCGTCAAGTTAGGGAAAGATAAAATAATCAAATTTATAATTAGTTAGTTGGACAACAAGATTTCTTAAAAAAGGGCAATATCATAACAGTAAATGCTACTGTTGCTAGCTATGAAATTAGTCCTCTTTAGTTACAAATTCTAAACCATTCAATGACGGGGAAAGATTATTTAAATTTATGAATCATTCACACACACACCTTCCTTAATGCATTTTTTGTGCATTTAGTCAGCAAAAATAACTATTTTAAAGAAGTCAGCAAATGTAGACCTTTTAGACAGGTCAGTTGTCAAATTTCAAAAAATAAGGACCTAATTTTTTACTCAACAAAAATTTTAATTACGCCTTATCACGTCACACCTACATGCACCTGCCCTGATGGCAGCTCAAATGTTTTTGATTACTTGTTTTATTTAATAAAATCTAACTGCTTGAATAAGCTCAGCGCAAGCCTGTTTTGTAGCTCCGTATCTATTAAACCGATTGAACTAAATAAGCATTCTGATGGCACAGATGTCGCTGGAACTGAAAATATTATCTGTGCAATTTGTGTCAAAACCGGGAACAATTTTTGATTAGCTTCGAAAAATTCAATGGCACTATTTTCGTAGCTCTGAAAGTATTTAAGACTGTAATCATTTATTTCTTTTTCAAGTTTATCATTGCTCTCAATTAAATTACAACAAGATTTATCTGTTACTAGTTCAATTAAATTGATTGACTTTCGTCTTTTGTTGTTAACTAAAGTAATATTATTTACAATAGGTAGTGTTGACGATTGCTGAAATGTTTTTATGGTATTGTCAGCTGAGCTGTTAGACGAGTTCAAAGTGTTATTTAAACTATTTGTTTCAATTGTTATATCAATTTCCGGATTCTTTTAGATGCATTTCATAAATGGTTTTTATAAACATTTTTGCCTTTGAAATTCATTCATATCTATAGATATTATTTTTGATAAACTCGAATTTACGAAATTTGAAATCAAGAAAAGTAGCTGCTAAGAAAAAATCATTAGCAAAAATATATTTAAAACGTCCTTTTAGAGACCTTTATAATTCCTTTTGAAAAGTCTTAACTAGTTCTGTTCTTAACTAGAATGTTACTGTAACATATTTCTTTCTGCTAAAAAGTTTTGTTAGCTCTTTAATTTGGTGTAACAAATCACACAAATCCTCCAGCACCATAAAGTCAGTTGCAGTGGGGAGAGTCTTTTATATTTTGGAATTCGATGCTTATCATATCCAATGCATTTTTATTTATTAATATAGATTCAATCATATTGAATTGGCTATTCCAGCGAATAGCTATATCCTGTACTAACTTTATTTTAGTTTCATAACGAAGTGTTTCTTGAAATTCTTTTAACTTTTTTTGTAACATCTCTGAATGCTTAAATGAACCAACAATGTGCCTGCAGGATGAAATTACCTTGGCGATTTCTAATTTACCTTCGTTAAATTTTTCAATTTCTTTAACTTAACTTTCTGTAATATCTCTTAATCTATATTATATATATATATATATATATATATATATATATATATATATATATATATATATATATATATATATATATATATATATATATATATATATATATATATATATATATATATATATATATATATAT